GAAACTTAACGATATAAGTGGTTCTGCAGCCTGAAATTTAAAATGCATATATGCTTTGACCCTGCAGTTCTACTTAAGGGATTTCCCACACAGAGACATTTGCCCACGTGCCAATTGAGCATATGCGTGATTATTCTTTTCAGCATTGTTTTGTGGTGGCCAAAGGTTTGAAATCTCTATCCTTTTAATAGAATCCACTTAATATCAATTGTATCACAAAAAAAGCATGAGAAATATCTCTAGGTTTATAATAACTTTCATCATTAAGTGGAAATGTACGGAGTACAACAATATACAGGAAGACTCCATTTGTGTTTAAAAGGAGAGGAAATACATATACATTGTATATGCATCGATATCTATGGAAGTTTGTACAAGAATCTGGTTCTTGTTGCTTCCCAGGAATTCAGGGGGGCTATGGAGGCCGGTGTGGACAAAGGAGTTTTTGCTGTACCTTTTTGTACCTTTATGTTTTATCTTTCCTTTTACCACTTTTTCAAAATATAAATGTTTGAATGGCTGATGCAGTCACATTTAGAAACTATAGAGTGTGGTCATCTTCGCAGATATTGAAAGTTTGAGAAAATTTCCAGTATAGACCATTTGTAGGCAGAGTCTTCTGTTGTATGAGGTGTCATATATCCACCGAATAGACGTGTTTCAGTCTCAGGCCACTCTTGACCTTAATGAGCATGCTTTGGAAGCATCCCCTCTAAAAGCAAGAACAAGTTGGCCATTTCCATTTTTATTTAACTTCCTTGTAGAGTTACTAGCCAGAGCAGTCTAAGAAAAATAATTTAGTGGTGTGAACATTGAAAAAGAATAAGAAAAATTACTCATATTTGTTGAAGCTCATGTACACATAATGTTACCTAGAAATCCCAAGAAGAGTCACTGAAAAACTCCAGTATCCTACAGGAGGATTCAAGAACAAAGTATAAAATTAATGAACAGAAACTAGTGCAGTAAATCCTCAGTTAACTTTGTGGATAGGTTCTACAATTTTAAGTGAAATGACTTAAAACAAAACCAGTTTTTCCATGTGCTAATTACATACACCTGAAACTAATATAACTAATATATTATTGTATACCAACCATACTCAAATTGTAAAAACACCATAGGCTGATTGGTATATATAAATAAGGGTTAGGTTCCTAGGAAAATTCATCAATGATATAATCAAATGACATTGAACATTATTGGAGGACCTGCTATAGTTTTCAAGCAAAAGCCAGTTTGAAGATAAAGGGATAGCAGAAAAGACAGTAATAAAAGAGATATGCTTCTAGGAATACCTTTAATAAGAGTCTCCTGAAATGCGTTGGAAGAATGCTTGAAAGCATCCCTGAGGAACTCAGAAGCCAGCTAGGTAGAAAGCTCACCTGTGTTTTAAACATCTTATATGTTCTACAATGAAGACAAAGTAAGACCTACCTAGAGTGGTGGATGCTTTTCCAGCCAGTCAGAATAGTCAGCTGAGCACATGTTTGGTGTGGTGGGAAGCCCTGACCTTTCCAACCCTTGCCCCCAGACAAAGGCCTTCATCCACCATGAGCTGCTGGCCTACTTATACTCATCAGCAGACCAGACCAGCCTCATGGAGGAGTCAGCTGACCAGGCCCAGAGGAGGGATGACATGCTTCGCATGTACCACGCACTCAAGGAGGCGCTCAACATAATCGGGGACATCAGCACCAGCACTGTGTCTACGCCCGTGCCCCCACCTGTTGATGACACCTGGCTCCAGAGCACCAACAGCCACAGGTCTGTGAGGCTTGGTCACCCATTTGCTGTAGAAGCTGCTGCCTGGGGGTTCCTAGCTCTTCTCCTAACCCACAGGTGGGCAGGGTAAAGGGGCCCAACCCAGATGTCACAGTACCCAGGGCTAGTCACAGTGGGAGCTGCTAGCCTGAAGGGACTGGGAGAGAAAAGGGTTAAAGACCAGCCTGCCTCCTGGTGCCATTCAAGAGGCCTAGGCAACACCAGCCATGGGGGTCAGCCTCCTGGGGCACAGAGCATGGCCAAGAATGTTGAGTGGGAAAGGATCTGGAGGGACAAACAGGACATAACTAGCACATCTCCCTGCTCTCCAAGTTTCCCCGAGCTGTTGGATGGAAATGAGACCCTGGTGTGGGTAATTCATAGTAGCTGGCAGGGAAACCTCACCAGTGCAAGGGTGGGCAAATGGTGGGAGGAGAGAGCAGGATAGGTCAGGGAAATCTCACAGGAGGTATCAGCCCCACTGAGACTCCAGGGAACCACAGTTACTTAGGGAGAGGAAACAGCATCCAGCCTGGGGAGCAGCAGGCCCAGGGGTATCCCATAGGGCACCTGGGGCAGGGGCTTGTGGTCTCTGGAGGCATGTGGACTTGATTTGTAGGGCAGAGCTGGGCTCTGGTAGGATTTTCAGTTACGGAGGGTAGATTGGAAGAAACACAGAAGTGGGGAGGCCCAAGCAGGGCTGGTGAGAGAGAAATGTCTCTGAAAGTGAGGTCAGAGGAAGCAGGAGCCCTTGGGCAAGGACACTTTTTTGGGTGGGAGGATGGCCATCCCTAGCAGGTCTGTCTGGGGGGTGGGCAGAGGAGCCCAGCGCACCTGCACTGCCCCTTGCCCAGGTCCAGGCACTCACCCACATCTCCCTAGGTGGTAGTTGGTGCCAGCCTGGTGCTCCTGACCACGGTTTCCAGCTTACACCTTCTTTCTTCCACAGCCCCACTCCGCAGCGCCGACCTTTATCCAGCGTGCACCCCCCAAGCCGGCCCCCAGCAGTGAGGGGTTCCACCCCAGGGCCTCCCCTGATACCTGTGCCAGTGGGGGCAGCAACCTCCTTCTCAGCACCTCCCATCCCATCCCGGCCCGGACCCCAGAGTGTGTTTGCCAATAATGACCCCTTCTCGGCCCCACCCCAGATCCCATCTCGGCCTGCTCGGATTCCACCTGGCATCCCCCCCGGAGTGCCCAGGTAAGGTTGGCCCCTCATTGCCTACCATCTAGTCATTGGCCTGCACCCTGCAGGTAATAGAGGAGTTGCCAGCATCTTCATTTGACTGGTGGGGAAACTGAGGCCAAGAGAAGCCAAGTCGACTGCCCCAAGTCATGGAGTGGTAGAGTCAGAAGGCTCCAAGCTTGTCCACACAGCTTGGAACCCTCACATGGGGGCTTGGCCTTTGCTTCCTTACTGAGGACACACATCAGTCATGGCATAACCTTGCCCTTCTCTCCCCATCTTGCAGGCCAAGCTCTCTTCTCCCCACTTGTCCCTAGGGGAACCTGAGGTTCAGGGCTGCTGGGGGACTTGTCCAGGGTCATTGAGCAATCGAATGACTGCAGGGGTACCAGTGCCTAGGCTTGGCAAACTCCTTCCTGGCATCTTTCAGAGCATCTAGCAAAGGGTTGCTACCTGGGAAGGGGTGGTGGGGCCTGGGTTGTCACTGTTGCCTTGCTTGCAGCCTCACTGCCATCTCCCCCTCCCTGTCTGTCTTTATTCTCTTTGCAGCAGAAGACCCCCGGCTGCGCCCAGCCGGCCCACCATTATCCGCCCAGCCGAGCCGTCCCTGCTCGACTAGGCTGCGGGGGCATTTTCTTGGGGGTTTCTTGTACACCCTTGGTGCAGGAGCTTCAGTGGTCTGGGCTACTCTGCTGCCCCTGGCCCTCTCATCCCTGTGCCAGGACCAGGCTCCCCGACTCTTTCCTAACCCTGGCCCAGTCAGGGGCTGGCCTGGCCCCCATCCCCAGCTGGATATAGCACTGAATGAAGGGGCCCTAGAGCCCTCATGTGGGAGGACCTTGGGTGTTGCACTTTGGGGGATGAGGCGTTGGGTAGCAGAGGAGGGAACTGGATCCTAAGCACCATCTGTGGTGAGGTATCCCAGCTAGTTTGGGATAGACTCACCCAGGGGCTTCTTTGGCCTAGAAAGCCTAAGCAGACCAGGCCTTCTGGAAACTGGGCACCAAGGACACCTGTACCCCTAGTCCTTGTTGGGGTGCAAGTGATATATCCACTTCTCAGCAGCAGGAGCTCCTGGTGGCAAGCCAGGAGTGGGTCCAGTGCTGCCTGCCCCGCCCAAGTTGTACATACTCCTTTCTTGGCCGTACTAACCACACGGCCCAGCCATGGCTGCCAGAGGTGCCTTTGCCAGGTCCAGAACCCTCAGCTCTGCTGGCCTCGCTCTTTTTTCCCTCAGCCCTCTTCTCTGCTGGGTCCCCAGCGTGGCCAGGCTCGGGGCTGAATGGGTAAGGAGACTGTGGGGGCCCCTTGGCTCCTACCCAGGCCTCCCACATGGGGTGGGCCCAGGTGGCCGCTCTCCGAGCAGACCTCACTGCTCGCTCAGTTTGACCACTGTAAGTGCCTGCACTCTGTATCCTATTAATAAACTAAAATAAAGGGAAGACGCTTCTGGTGGCTGCTGTGTGGGCCTTTTGTGTTGGCGTTCAGGCTGAGGACATGGGCTGCTTGCTTTCCCCCAGAGGCCTCCAAGTAGGACCCCATCCTTCCCACCATGGGCTCCCCCACACCTCACTCATGAGGGCTCTGCTCTTGTGGGAAGGGTTCATTTCTTCCAGAAGAATCCATGCTCTACAAGGGAAAGCTTTTACTTATCTCAGAAGTGGAGGCAATATCCCCCACCACCCCACCTCAATACACCACAGAGGCCTGGGGCGGGCATCAGAATCACTGAGGGGAGAGGGAGTCCTAGCCCTCCACCCCACACTGTGCAGTGGTCAGCCTATGTCCCCACCTTAAAGCCCTGAGCACTTTCCGCAAGTCCCCTCTTCCCCCTCTCAGGGCCCCAGGCCTTCTGGCCCAGCCAGGGACACAGTTCAACTTTGCTTTCTGATTTTTCTCTTATGCCCAGGCGACCACCTCCGTCAGCTCCCGCCAGACCCTTCTTCTGAGCTTCGTGGGAGATCCCTCCCGCCTGCCTGGTCGCCCTCTTGGGGGCAAGTCTGATCTGGCTTGTGTCCCTGAGCCCCAATCACCAGGCTCTGTGATTTTCTGACCATAATTTATTGGCTCCGGTCCCCAGGCCAGACTGCCCTTTGTTCCGTGAGGCTCCTGTGCAAGCTTTGGCCAGGCCTCCCCTCGAAAATGCCTTGGGCCCCTGCAGGGGGAGCAGGAGGGGCAGGTGGTCTCGCAGGCTCCGCTCCTGGAATTCTGTTACTGGACCTCACATCTAGCCCCTGCTGGGCCAAGGGGCCAGTTCCTTCCTGTTAATAAAGTGACTATCCTGGCAAGAACACTGCAGCTGAGTTTCCTTCCCAACCCCTGGCATGAGCAACACCCTCAGCAGCAGCAACAGGGCCTAGGTGGAGTGACAAGGAGGGGAGGGGAGGGGAGGCATGGGGTCCTATGAGCAGCAAGCCTCCTTCTACCCCTACCTGGCTCACAGGGCCAGTGGGGAAGGGAAAGGAACGCTTGCTTCCTGGGCCCCATCCAGCACCAGGCAATGGTGATGCAGCCGGAAGGCTCAGGCTAAGGCACATTTACAGTAGGGGACAGAGGCGGGGCCGGGGATCCCAGGGTTGCATCCGAATGCTGCAGTGCCCTCCCCACCTCGTGCACAATTTCTAGGCCACTGAGCCACCCTGCTGGGTGGCCCAGACCTACAAGCCAGCCAGTGTTCTGGCCTAAGAGGGAAGACACACAGGGGCCACATCCCATGCCCAGAATGTACAGCCTCCTCTCCCACAGGAACTAAGTTGGTGAAGGGATCCCCGCCAAGTCTTACACACATGCACCCTGCTGTCACTCCTTTTCCCTGTTCTTCCTTCCGGGCCAGGGGCTACGTAGGCACAGGGCGCTTATCCTGAAAGAAGCGCTTCAGTGTGCAGACCTGCAGCACAGCCACTAGCAGCAGCACAGCCACGTTGACAGCTGACCAGAAGTTGACCCGTTCCAGGTTGCCCTCCTGCAGGTTGCGGTCACGTGCTTCAAAGGCTCGCAGCAGTGTCAGCATCTGGATGCTGCGCTCTAGACGGGTCCTCATGGTCTCAATAGACTCCTGTGGAACAAGGGAGGAGCAGAGTCAGGCCTCCGTCCTTTGGGAAGCAGAGACCAATCAAATGAGGAAATGGGGTAAGAGTCCATGTTGCAGGGGAGAGAGAATTGAGAGCAAACTCTACCCAGGCTGCCTTGCTGAGTCCAAATCCTCATTCTGCCACTCACTGGCTGTGAAAACATGAGCAAATTAATTAACCTCTCTGGGCCTCAATTCCTTCCTCGGAGTTGCTGTGAGAACTGAGTGCTTAAATAAGTTTGAAGAATGTATTTACTAGTGAATAACAACACAGTTACTGAAGCCAGACTGCCTGGGTTCAAATATTGGCTCTGCCAGTTGCTAGCTGTGTGGCCATATGACAACTACTTAGCCATCCTGTGCCTCAGTAAAATAGATGATTTGAGCACACTACTTCATAGGATGGTTATGGAGATTTAATGAGTTACATAAGCCCTTAAAATCAGGGTTTACACCTAGAAATGTACTATTATGTTTAACTGTGAGCTACTACTAATAAGTTGGAGGCACCACTGCTAGGAGAGGCTAGGTCAGGCCAAGGAGGACTCTAGCCAAGGCTGGAGGGCAGGGTCCCACTGTAGCCCAATGCCAGAGATCTGGAAGGAGTAGCTCTATCTCAGCTTGGGCGTACCTTGATGTCCTCCATCTTGACATCCAGCATCTCCTCAGGCTCCACGACCTCTGCCCAGCCTTCGACCTCCTCATCATCCTGCAGGCTGTCAAAGATGAGTTCGAAGAACACCAACTTCTCGGAGATTGTGCTGAAGGAGTTGTCAAAGCACAGCTTGTAGTCCCCAGCCTCCGTGGGTTCTACCCTGGGCAGATAGGCAGACACACAGACATGACCCTGAATGGCCTCCAGCCGGACTTTGCAAACAGGGTGGTAACTGGAGGCTGCTGGGGAGGGGCAGGGATGTAATCGAACCCTAGCAGGCAGCAGGACTGAACTCACGTGTGCACCCCATCTGCCTTGCGGGACTCACTGACCAGCAGCACGCCCTGAGGGCTCTCCAGCGTGAAATCCACATCTAGCCCAGCACCTCCGATCACCTGGGGGGCAGGTAAGAGCAGATGAAGGGTTAGGGGTAGGCCAAGAGCGCCTACCAGAGAAAGCCAGGGCTGGACTACCGCGCAGACCCATACAGATCACTAGGGACCTACTTGAGCACTGACACCCACACCTGCAACCGGGTCCTTTTCCCACCCGTTCTTCGGCCTTGGCTGTGCCCTCATTACGGGCTAGCTTTGGGATCAACTCTTTGGTAACGCCCCCTCGGAAGTCCTTGATCGGCTTTTACCTGGCCACGCCCCTGACTTGCCAAGCTCCAAATGAGGCAACCGGTTCAGCCTTTAGCCCAAGACCCCCCAAAATTCTCCAGTTGATCACACCCTCTCTCGCAGCGCACCCTGGTCACGCCCACCAGCCCAATCCGACACGCCTTGGCCACGCCCACGGGAGAGTCAAGTCCTATAAAGGTCTCTATTTCCCAATGGCCCGCCTCCTGGCTGTCTCTAGCCCCGCCTTCGTCCATTATCCCGGCCCCTTCCGGTCCCAAGCGCTGTGCCCGCCCCCTCCGTCTGACTCAGATTTCTCCCCCACGCTCTTTCTCACAGGCTGTCCCTTCCCTCTTTAAAGCAAGCCTTGCTGTAGCTGCGTGGCCACGCCCCCTCCTCTTGGCTCCCCTCGCTCCCCAGCCCGGGACCCTCTGTACCTGGTACTCGGTCTCGAGGCTTGCGTTGGCAGGAGCAGACTGGTAGAAACATTGCTTCCTCCCCGCAGGCAGCAGGAATGTGAACTCGCCGTCCTGGATTGGTGGGGGTCCTGCCCCTCCCACCCCCACTGACGGCAATAGTAGCCACAGAGCCAAGGCTAGGGCCGCGCCGGCCGCCATCATCTAAATCATACTCCGATCTGCTAACGGGTCGCGGCACCTTTAAGGGCTAGCCCGGCCCCCTCTGCTATTTGGCGGAGCTCATTGGCAGCCGCTTCTGCCTGTTTTCTTAAACTAGCGGAGTCAGAAGTGAAGGACCCGTTATGGATGTAGCTGCCCAAATTAATGCCTGATGTTCCCAAAAACATTCAACCTTTTAAAGACTTTTTTTAATGAAAGGCTTCCACTCTTAGTCTTAATTGCTGGTGAAGGAAAGAAATGAGAAAAATAAGTACCGTTATGGTGTATTCTTCTCAGGCAAATATTAAGACAACTAAAGTAAAGGCGGCCGGGTCTTTCTAAGGCACAGCCCTGCGGTTTTCCAAAGGTGCAGTACGGCGAGTGTTGGATTATCCGGTCTGGATGGAGCAAAACCAAAATATAGGCTGGGCGTGTCCCTGCGTTCGAACCCTTGGACTCGCGTATAAAAGGCTCTGCTGGGGTAGGGAGGAGAGTTTTTCATATTAACAGGTGTATCACGTCGTTTCTCGTCTCTGAGCAGAGCCCTCTCTTCCAAGCCTGACTTCTCATCCCCTTTGCGCCTTAGAACCATCACTTTTTCAGTTTCCTCACTTGTAAGTTGGGGGTGATGAGAATTGAGTGAGATGAAGCTCTGGTCCATAGTGAGCTCTCTGTTTTCCTTGCATAGTCACTACAGGGGTGTGGCCTCAACCGGCCACCCAAGGGTCTCAAATTTAGGGGCCAGACGTTATGCAGAATGATTCAACTGGCCCAGGGTAAGGAAAAATGCATCCCGAGTGCTTAGAGTCACCAGAGAAGAGATGAAGAGAGAGTGTGGGCCTGGGAGCAGGTTGCCTAGTTCAAACCTCACCTGACCCTTTACTTGAGGCAATGGCCGTACTGGTCCTCAATTTCCTCATCTGTAAAATGATACAAGGCCAATTTCCTTGGGGTGTTGTGAAGATGAATTGAGATAATGCTTGTTTAGTGCTTGGCACATCATAGGCCTCATTAAATATCTGTTATATTCTAGGTGTATCTTCCAACCATTTAACCTCTTCCTCAGTCTGGCTTAAAGGATTTGGAGACGACCTCCCTCTGGGAAGCAGACAGATAAGCAAAGAAGTCTTTGGAGAAATGGACTCTACTTGGTGATTCCGTCTAAACATAAGAAAAACTGTTTAGACGGAAATTTTGAGTCTTTAAAGATAGGCCTGGGAGAGGTTGGCAGATGGTGACAATTACTCTTCAAATACAGCTGGTGGCTGTCAGCGCCTTCCTGCATTTGGAGAACTTGGGGAAGTTACACCACTTTGTAATGTCAAAGTTTATCTACAGTTGTGCTTGGTATTTTGTTTCACTAGTATTTCTATCATTCAGACGCTGCTTGGACATTTTGAAGTAGTTGTGGAGAATGAGTGATGTTTTTAATGGTTTTTTTTTTAATGAGTATGTTTATGTAGTAAACATTACTACATAAAATTAACCATTTTATAGGGAGTAATTCAGTGGCAATTAATACATTCAGTATGCTGTGCAACCACCACTTCTACCTACTTCCGAATTATTTTATCAGCCCAGAAGAAAAGGAAACCCTGTGCCCATTAAGCAATTATTCCTCATTCCCCCATTCACCCCAGCTTCTGGCAACTGGCAATCTGCCTATATGGATTTACAGATTCTGGATTTCTGATGTAAGTGGAATGTGTGACCATTTGGCTAATTTCACTTAGCAAAATGTTTTCAAGGTTCATCATCATAGCAGGTATCAATATTAAAGTCCCTTTATGGCTGAGTAGTATTCCAGTATATGGATTACCACAATTTGTTTAACCATTCATGTGCTGATGGACATTTGGGTTGTTTCTATCTTTTGTCTATTGTGTGGATAATACTGCTGTGAACATGTGTGTATGTGGAGGGGGGGGCGTTTGTTTGTTTTTTTAGTATCTGCTTTCAATTCTTTGGGGATTTACCTAGGAGTGGAATTGCTGGGATCATATGGTAATTCTACATTTAATATTTTTAAGGAACTGCCAAACTGTTGCACAATATCTGCACAATTTTACATTCCCACCAACCATGTATGAGGGTTCTAGTTTCTCCACATCTTCATCAACACACGTTATTTTCTATTTTATTTTTATTATAGTCATCCTAATGGGTGTGAAGGTGTATCTCATTTTGGCTTTGATTTACATTTCCATAATGATGTTAAGCATCTTCTCATGTGCTTGTTGGCCATTTGTATATCTTCTTTGGAGAAATGTCTATGCAAGTCTTTGTCCGTTTTAAAATCAGGTTGTATGTCCTTTTGTTGTTGAGTTATAAGAGTTTTTATATATTATGAGGGAAAAAGGGAGAAAAAATTAAAAACCTCTCCTACTCTGCAGATCTATGACATTTCAGTGCTTCCTCAGGGCATTTCCAGCTCTGCCTTAGCTTTCGCTTCCCATTTCTGCTGAATAAGAAATCAGCCAGAAGTGAGCGCTTGTCTTCTCGGGTCTTTTCTGAGCATTTGTCCTGCGTTAGGCATGTACGATGCTTTCTAGATTCCCTAGTATATATGGGTACTTTTGAATGCTCTATTTACCCAAAGAAATTTTCACCCCAACTTTTCCTCCTAGCTTTAATAATAGCATGTCTGTCATTATCCTCAGTGGTCATCTTTTGCCCCCAGCAGCTGTGGGTCTTCCTTTGCCTTACACCGTTGACTGCAATCTGAGTCAAATAGACAAGTACTTATAACTGGAATCAGTCTTGCTGATAGCCCCAGACATGTCAGAACAAACACAAGACTGTGAGAAGGAGGGCTGCTCTCCCAGGAACCAAAGACCAGGGCCCCATCCTGAGGACACAGGCTGCTATCTTCAAGACCTGCCGCGCTGGGGAAGGAGATGAAGGAAGGGCACGGAAACACAGAGCTTTCCTGCCATGTTCGTGTTACTTTTATTCTGATTGTGCATCTGCTTGGTTGGCATAAATCTTTTCCAGGGTTTGTATAAAGTTGATTCTGACTGTGTTTGCTCAATTCATGAATGTTTCTATGGAGGGACAGGCCCTTGGAGCAACTAATTCTTCCATTTTCACTGACATCTGGGACCTGAATGGTTGATTCTTATTTTTTTCCAATTAAACAAAAACTTCCCCCTTTCCTATTATTCAACAAATATTTACTGAGTGAGTATTTGACACTATGAATAAAGCAGGCACTGTCTACATCCTTGTGGAGCTGTCTTCCTAGTGTAGCTCCACTAAGGTGGTTTTAGGTGGTCATAGGCACTAAGAAGTAAATGCTAGGTTGTAGGCGGATGGCTCATTTAGCCTGGGTGGAGTCAGGGAAAGCTTTCCTGAAGAGGTGGCATTGAAACTCATACTTGAAGAAGAGAGAGGAGGAGACAAATAACAGTGCCCTGAGGTCAGAAGGTGCTCAGGGGGTTCAAGGGGTAGAAAGGAGGTGAAAGGAGTGATGAGAGTGAGAGGAGTAACCAGAGAACAGATGGGAGTAGTCAGCACAGGTCACATCATGAAGGATCCCTCTTCCCTTTGTAGTATTGCCCTAGAATCTTAGCCTGGGTTTCTTACAACCATGGGGAGTTGGCAGCCTGACTTCCAAAAGATTCTAAGAGTGTGTGCTGGGCAATCTGTGTGTGTTCCCTTTTAGAATGGTTTTTCACCCTTCCTTGCACCACTCTGTGCTGTGGAAGGCTGACCTCTATACCCTGGATCATCCTGGCTGCTTGGGCTCAGCTCTGGCAGGAGATCTGAGGCCTGGAGGAGAGGAAGATCTAGGTATATATCCCCTGGCTCCCACCGTGTTGGTCTGTATCTCTCTACCAAAGTCTGGAACTTCATCTCTCTCCAAATTCCAGGACCACTTTCTCTCCAGCAACTTCAGGCCTAGGCCAGTAACAGCCCCCTTAACCCAGGAGTCACCATCCCTGATTGATTTCCCTTCATCCTGTCCTTGACTCCTCAGTTGTGCCTCTTAAGAACAACAGCTGTGTGACAGTTGGTGACTAATACAGGTATGTGTTGCTCTTTTTCTGAACTCAATGCCAGATTATAGATTTCTACACCATATTAAACGCTTCCAGAATGAAATCCTTACACACATATAATTCCCTCTACCTCGCATGCCCTTCCTCTGTCTCCTTCTCAAGCTTTTACGGTCAGATACAGTCAAACCTCGGTTCTCGACCATCTTGGTTCTCGACCAATTTGGTTCTTGACCAAGTTTTTGTACAAAAAAGTCTTGGTTGTCTTAACAAAACTTCAGGTCTCAATTCTCTATCTCACAACCCCTCTGTGCTAATACCAGTGTGATCATCAATAAGGCATTTCTCAGGTAACAAACAAAAGAACTTGGTTTTTGAACAAATTGCTTCTCTAATAGTTTTCTGGAACAAATTAACTTCAAGGACCAAGGTTCAGCTGTATCTGGAAGGAATCTCTTAATTCTGTCTCCTACACATCAAAGCCAAGAATCTCTCAACTATCTCTTTTATACACATGATAGAAACACAAAAGTAGACTGAATGAATATTTTTTGGCTTTCAGATCAGACAGTTGAGAAATATTTATGGTTCGTTGTATGCCAAGCAATGTGATAGGCATTGGGAACCTGCAGGAGACACGAAGGACCCCAGCCCTGCACCTCTGGAGGAAGGGAGCTGGATGAATTCAATGAATTCAAGCAAGTTCTGTGAACCACCTTGACCTAATCTAATTGACATTTATAGAATATTATACCAAACAGTGGCGGAGTGTTGTTTCTATATTTTAAGGGCCAACAGAATATAGATCAAGATTTACAGGGCCGCCCTGGCTGGCGTAGCTCAGTGGATGGAGCGCGGGCTGCGAACCAAAGCATCGCAGGTTCGATTCCCAGCCAGGGCACATGCCTGGGTTGCAGGCCACGGTCCCCAGCAACTGCACATGGATGTTTCTCTCTCTCTCTCTTTCTCCCTCCCTTCCCTCTCTAAAAATAAGTAAATAAAAAATCTTAAAAAAAAAAAAAAGATTTACAGGGCCATTAAAAAATCAATAAATTTCAAGGGATTAAAATTTCATGAAGTATATTTTCTGACCACAAAGGAATTAAATTAAAAATCACTAACAGTGGGTCATCAAAAAAGCCCAAATATTTATAAATTAAACAACACCTAAACTATAACAGAAAAAATTCACAAGGGAAATAAGATAATATTTTAACAATGATAATGAGATGTAGTTAAAGCAGTGCTTAAAGTAAAATGTGCAGCTTTAAATGCTTGTATTAGAAGATAAACATTTAAAATCAGTGATCTAAGCTTCCATCTTAAGAAGCTAATAAAAGAAGAACCAATTAGATACATGGTAAATAGAAGGGAGAAAAAATAAAGACCAAAAAACAAAGAAACAGAAAATAGAGAAAAACAGCAAAGTCAAAAGTTGGTGCTTTGAAAAGATGAATAAAACTGAATAATAATTAGTCCTAGCAAGACTAATCAAGGAAAAAAAAGAGGGGGGAAAAAAAACCAGTTTACATTACCAAGAGGAGATATCATCACCACAGACCCTACAAACATTAAAAGGAAAACAAGAAGACCTTGGCCAGGTGGCTCAGTTTGTTAGAGCATTGTCCTGATACGCCAAGCTTGTAGGTTCGATCGCCATTCAGGGAACATACAAGAACCAACAAATGATTGCATAAATAAAGTGGAACAACAAATCTTTCCTTGCCCCCAGCCTTTTTCTAATATTAATTAAAAATGGGAAAATACCTGGCTGGCATAGCTCAGTGGATTGAGCGTGGGCTGCGAACCAAAGTGTTGCAGGTTCAATTCCCAGTCAGGGCACATGCCTGGGTTGCAGGCCATGGCCTCCAGCAACTGCACATTAATGCTTCTCTCTCCCTCCCTTCCCTCTCTAATAAATAAATAAATAAAATCTAAAAAAGTGGGAAAATAAAACTAACAATTCTATACCAATAAGTTCTTCAACTTAAATGAAATGGACAAATTCCTTGGTAACAATAAGCATGCTAATTGAAATAAAATTATAAGACACTAGGGGAGAATTCAACAAGGGGATTTTTCTAAGTCTAGAGGAGTCTGGAAAAAATTTCCCAGAAGTAATATTTAAGCAGAGACCTGAGGGAGTAGGATTTGACCAGGGTGATAGAATTGTGTCCCAGGCAGGGGATATAGCATGTGCAAAAGCCCTGAGGTTGGTATGAGGTTTGTGTGTCCAAAGCAAAAAGTTTACTCTAGTGGCCCTTTTTGCTGTTTGATGAACACACACATCCTTCCTGGGTGTAAATCTTCAGGTGGACTTGCTTGATTTGAACAGAAACCTTTGGGGACCAAAGGAAACCCAAAGGTCAAAGAAACCTTTGGGCTGGAAATGGAAGGCAATTTATCCTGCAAAGTATATCATTGCCCCAGCCCTGGAGCGGGGTTTCACCTGGCTGGTGAGGCTCCTAAGGCTTTTCTCTGTGGCTTCACATTAGAAATGCTCATGCCCACTTGGCACTGTGCTTCAGACTATGAGTTCTTTGGCTCTTCTGTCTTCTCTTAGCCCCATTACAGAGCAGCAAGATGAGACTTCAAGAAAGGACTGTCTTGCCTGAGGTCACAAAGGCCAAGCCCTAACCCCCACACCCTACCACCCGGCACTTGACACGTGTATCAACGCTGGCTGCGGTGTATGTCTTGGGCACAGGTTTCCCAAACAGTCCACAGTCCTTGCCCTTCCTCATGCCCAGGGAGCCTTTCAGGGGTAGGAAGATAAATACACCACAACCATTTCATTTGTCCCTCCCATCTGCAGAACCATGGCCACCAAGGAGCAGAGAGGTGCCAAGTTCTGATGGGCACCAATGGAAGGAGGGGGAAGAGGAGAGAGCCTCTTTCAGTATCCGAGCATGTGTGCAACTTCCTGCCAGTGAGGAAACACTCAGCTAAAATCAGCCCAGCTTCTCCTTTCCCTGCTCTGGTCTCACAGGAGCAGTTGTGGTGAGCCGTGGGCCACACTGGCCTCAGCCAGTCCGGCCAAACGCTGGCGAAGCAATGCCCTGGACTGTCCTGCTCTTTGCAGCTGGTGAGCCTGACACCCCTGCACCACCCTAAACCACTCCCCCATGCCTGCCCACCTCCCCTCCACTCTGGGGGCAGGAGCGGTTGCCCTGGGCTGCCCTCCCCAGGTGCTAAAAGAGGCCGAGCCCTGATAGATTTGTCCCAGAGCCTTGGGAATGTCCCAGGAGCATGACTTTCTTTTATTGTGCTCCTCTTTACCCTCGAATCATGGATATAAAATGCCACCCCACTGGAGACAGCAGTGCCCACACCCCATGACTCAGCCAGCTTGGCTTCTGAGGCTCCCACCGCCAGAGCCAGGGCAGCAGACCTGCTGGGGGACAAGGGAAGGCTCTCGTGGACCGCACCTAAACCAGATACACACTGTGCTCAGGGGCCTGGGGGCAGCTGAGGAGAAAATGGCCCCTCCTGTAGGAAACTGAACCCCCAAATCTACATTCCTCACCACAGCCTAGGAAGCAGGAACCTCTCAGTCCTCCCCTCCTCCCACTCTCCCTCTCCCTCATCCCCTCCAGCCACCCTGGCCTCCTTGAATATCCCCCAGCCTCCCAGCCTCTGCCCAAGCTGTTCCCTCTGCCTGAAATGCTTTCCTTCAGCTCCCCTTGTGTCACTCCTTCAGGGAAGCCTCTGTGGCCGCCCCAGCTAGTGCAGCCTTCTCACTACTCTGATGTGCTGCACAGTGCCTCTTGTCTTCCTGAGAACATCAGCTCCCTGAGTCAGGCATGTCTCTCTGTCTGTTTCATTCACTGCTCTATCCCTAGCACCTAAAACAGGGCCTGACACACAGTCAGTACTGTTGATTGAAGTGATGAGAATATAATTGCGTTGCTGTGTAATAACCACTGCAATTATTTTTTTTAAATGACTCAGCCTTGGTTGGGTAGCTCAGTTGGTTAGAGTATCCCCCTGATATTCCAAGGCTGCAGGTTCCGTCCCCCGTCAGGGCACAGACAAGAATCAACCAATGAGTGTGTAAATAAGTGGGACAACAAATTGATGTTTCTCTCTGTCTCCCTTCTCCTCTCTCTAAAATCAGTAAGTAAATTTATGCCCAAGCTGGTGTGGCTCAGTGGAATGAGTGTCAGCCTGCGAACCAAAAGGTCACTGGTTCGATTCCTGGTCAGGGCACATGCCTGGGTTGTGGCCCAGGTCCCTAGTTAGGGCCCTTGTGAGGCAACTGATCCATGTTTTTCTCACACATTGATGTTTCTCTCCCTCTCTTTTTCCCTCCATTCCCCCCTCTCTAAAAATAAATAAAATCTGAAAAAATAAAAATAAAATCAATAAGTAAATTTTTTTTAAAAAGAGGCAAATGCAGTGATCCTCACCAGGTGCTAGGGACTTGATTCCCTCAACGTTGCAGTGGGGTAGGGATGACTAGCCTCCGGTTGTATGTAAAAATCAAAGCCACAGAAGTTCTATCAGCCAGTTTGAATCTATCTTGATTTGAGTGCCTTCTAGAATGTGTAAAAAGTAGTAAGTAATGTGTCTTCTATGCTACATGTATAATATGAACTTCTATAGTTGTATATATGCGTTTGATGTATTTTCCCCTTGAAATTATCAACTGTGTGTTTGACAACTGAAGAAAGTAAATCCGTAATCAGTTGGAACAACAACAAGGGCCTACAAGGGTGAGTCACTTGCCCAAGGCCACGCAGCCAGGCCAGCTGCTGCTCTAACCCCCATTGACCTAAGACCTCCCTTATTCTGCATCGTAGGTTCCATGGCGATACCAGCCCCATCCATCGTGCTGGTGCCCCCACACCCCAGCAGTCACGAGGACCCCATCTACATTAAATGCATGGCCCCCAGGGGCTTCCCAGGTGCCAACTTCACGCTGTACCAAGGGGAGATGGTGGTCCAGCTCTTGCAGGCCCCTGCAGACCAGTTCAGTGTCATCTTCAACCTGAGTGGTGGCAGCTGGGAGGCTGCAGGGGGGACGACATTTCATTGCCAGTATGGCGTGCTCGGTGAGCACAGGCTACTGCAGCTGTCAGACCTCAGTGAGACTGTGCACGTCTCCTTCCCAGGTAAGGCCCTCTTATCGGCCCTCATCTGCCCACGGCTCCATTTTCTCCCTACCAAGGCTTTCCATGTGCTGTTCCCTCCGCTTGGCAGTCATCATAGGACAAGCCAGGCTTCCTACTTGCCAGGACTTACCTTCCCATGTTTAATCCTAACAGTCACCTGTGCCATGGGTATCGTGAGTCTCCCCATTTTGCAAATGAGGAAACCAAGGCATAAAAGACAAGGGGACTTGCCCAAGTCACACAGCCAGCAGGCAGCAGAGTTGGGCTTCCACTGGCCTCCAAAGCCCAGGCATTGACTGGCCTGCTCTGCTGCCTCCCTCCACTCCTGGCCACAGAACATTTGAGAGCACCTGCTGTGCACCAGGCACTGTCTTTAGCAGTGCAGTTTCAGCAGTAACGGAAACAACGTTCCTGCTCTCTTACAGCTCACATTCTGATGGAATAGGGACAGACAATAAACAATGAGTCTAATAATTATTGGATCTGCCAGCAGGGGGCAAGTAAATTGCCAAGGATGAAATGTAGCCGGCTGAAGGGTGTCATTTTAAATACAGAGAAGAGTGGCCAGGGAACGCCTCTCTGAGGAGGCGATGTTTGGGAAAGGACCTGAATGATAAAGAGCCGGCCGTGAGAATGTCTGGGGTAGGAGGTTGCAGGTAGCAGGAGCAGGCTGTGAAAGGCCCTGAGGCTGCTGTATACCTACTGTGTTTGAGCAACATAGAGGCACCCTTGATTGAAGTCTAGTGAACAAGGAGGAAAGTGGAGAGAGTTGAGGGCAAGGAGATGGCAAAAAGGATCTTGCAGGGTCTTGTGACTGCAGTAAGGACCCTGGCATTTTGGACAAGTGGGACAGAAGTCCTGGGAGGACTTCTGGTCTCTCCAGGACAGGGGGTGGGTGCAGGCTCTGGATCAGGAGTGGGAAAGAGGGAGGAGCCTCCAGGTGGAGCCTCTGTAGCAGCATTAATCAACTTTCCACGGGCAAAGAGAACTTTGTTGCTCGCAGAGGCTCACATGTTGTGATGACAGAACAGTCTCTGTGTCCTTCCTGGCCTCGAGTTGCACTATCAAAGGCCCCTTCTCTCACCTTGGTCCTGTGGTCTCAGAGTGAGGAGGTGACAACCACCCCCCACCACCCCACCCCGGCCCCGGATGAATGAATGAACAAGGCTAATACTATGAGAGCACCAAGTGTGCATCTGTCCTTCCCACTCCTGGCTTAGCTCCTGCCCTCCCCTGGGGTCAGCGCATCTGCTCCCGGCTCCCCTGAAAGACCCCTTTCTCTCCTGAGAGGAGCAGCCAAATCCTTTGTGGAGAAAACTCTGGAGCTGGGGCTTCATGCTTCTGTGGCTGAGCTCTGTGTGAGCCTCAGAGTTCACCATGTGGCTGAGGGTGGATGTCCCCTGATCCCCTTGTACCCACGCTGACGTCAGCAGGACTGCAAGTTGGAAACTTACTTGAGGCTGCAAGTAACTGAAAATTTGACTCAAACTGGTTTCAATCACAAAAGGGGATTTGTTGGATCCAGGTGACCCAAGGTGTTAGGCATCATTTGCCACCTCTCAGTTTAGCTTTCTTCTGTGTCTTATTCTCAGGCAAGTCTTCTCTTCATGGTGGCAAAACTGTGCCCAGCAGCTCCAGATGTATATACCACCACCTTGGGATATATATATATATATATATCTCCCAACCAGTAAACCTCTCCTAGTGGCCTATCCAGCCTCAGAATTAGCTCTCCTTGGCTCTGCTTGAGTCACATGCCCATCTCTGAACTAATCACAATGGCCAGGGTCATGAATATGTTAATTGGCTAGATTTAAGATTTGCTGGATCCCTAGGGTCCAGCTACACTCAAACCATATAGTGTGGGGGGTATTGGGGATGGCGGGGAGGCTGGCTCCACCAAGATAACCTGGAGGAATGACAGTTGTCCTACCTCCTCCCTGTGCCTCTACAACTCCATGACCTGCCTGTTCTCTCTTTTCCCATTTTTTCTCTAGTGCCCCCTTGGATCCTGGCACTCTCCTTGAGCCTGGCTGGAGCCCTCCTCCTTGCTGGGCTTGTGGCTGTTGCTGTGGTGATCAGGAAAGGTAACAGCAGGCAAAGAGAGCAAGCACAGCCCACGGGCTGCCAGAATGGCACCCCTGGAGTGTGTAAATGCACTTCCACTCACACCCATTTTTTAGAGCCCAGAAATGGGGAGACCTTACTCTAAAACTTAGCAGTGAAGAACCTTTCAGCAGTATGAGGATGGTGGTGGGCATGGGGGGACATATATATATTTTATTGTGGTTGAATATACAAAACATAAAATTTACCATTTTAGCTCTTTTTAAGTGTCCAGTTCAGTGGCATGAAGCACACCCACATTGTCATGCAGCCATGACCACCACCCATCTGCAGGGTTCTTTCATCTCAGACTGAAACTCTGTCCCCAATTACACATAACTCCCCATCCCCCTCTACTCAACCCCTGGCACCCACTGAAATTAACATTTTTTCTGAAATCGATTTTTACATGCTTGTACTTTGTTTGATGTTTTTATCAACACACATTACTCATGTACTTGGGGGAAAATAAATGTTTGCAGTAGTTCTCCTGTAGAGTGGCAGATCTGCCAGGGGGGAAGGCAAAGGCTGGGCTGCAAATGTCTGAGGGGGGCTTTTGGCTTTTTGGTTTTTAGAAATTTGCAAACAGGATGCACCCAGGACCAAAACCTAACAAATGTTTATTTATTTTTTTGTTCCTCAGTTAAAGCAAAAAAAATGCAGAAGAAAAGGTGAGCCTATCCCTGGAGACCCTCAGAGGGTGGTTTGGGGGAAAGAAGTATTTAGTCTCAGGGTAGGAGTTCCTGATGGGTGTTAGGGACTCTGAGAGCTGGCCAGGTTGTGGGACGAGAAGGGCACTTCCCTGGCTGTGTGGGAGCTGCATTTCAGACAGACCCTCTGATGGGTGGGTGTGTGAGGCACTGGGCTAGGAGGCTGTGAAGCTGGTGCTCCTGTTATCCTCATAGCAGCCCTGGAAGCAGGCACCATAAATAGCCCCATTTTACAGACAATGAGACTGAGGCACAGAGAGAAATGGCTGAGCCTTCCTCACATCCTTTTACTGCCAGCTGCCAAAAATGGTCTAATCACTCTAGAAATCCACAGTGGGGGAAGGCAGGAGGTTGTGTTCCCCTGGGGTTGTGCAGTGCCCAGCCTGATGCCCTGCTTCCTGGGCATCAGGATGTCCCCACTGGTCCCAGCCTTGGTTTCTCCCCTCTAAGAGAGGGGTGGACACCCTACTGCCTAGTGGCAGAGAGCTAGCAGCAGCCTTGGAATCAGATCCTGACTTTATCTGGCTTGTGGGGCTCTTAGAATTTCCATCTGATAGGATTCAGGGTAGGTGGCAAACAAAGGTCAGGTATGGGGCCTGGAAAAAGCCTCCTTCCTGAGATGGCATCACTCTCTTCGCAATCCCTTTACAGAGAGCAAGAATCTTGCTGGGCCCAGATTAACTTCACCACCACAGGTTCGTGCCTCTTCCTTGATCCTGTCCCTCCCTCAGCTCCCAGGTGGGGTTCTCTGCCTCGAAAACACCATAGGCCTCACTACTCACTACTAGACCTCTTCTGGGGCTGGCTGATCGCTTCCCATAAGGGCAAGAATCCCCCTTTCCAACTCCCCTCCACCCCAGGTTTCCCCTTTCACCTCTCCTTGCCCCATCCTTGTGCCTTTCAAGCACTCAGCCCTCTGCCCAGAGCACTGTTCTTCCTCCTGGTCTTAGTCTGAAGGTTACTTCCTCCAGGAAGTCTTTTTTGACTCCCTAGACAGGGTCTGCGCTTTCTACTTACATGCTCCCAACAGGCACCTTGTCATCCTTCTTACCCCTTAGTAGAAACACAATCAAGTAATCATTGCCTGTTGGGTATGTAATATTCCCCTCCACCGCTGGACGGTCACCTCCCCGGGGGCGCAGTGCCTCTGCCTTGTCTGCTTGAGCACCCTGCTGCTTTCACAGTACTTGCCACCATCCTCAAATGGAGCTCTATTTGTCCAAACGTGTCATTCTGCCGGCTTCCACCAGGGGGCGAGGGGCAGCCAGTCTGTGATGTGCAATGCTCAGGAAGCGGCCCCAAACCGAGAAACTCCGTTCTTCTACTTTTTTCACTGCCCCACACATTTGTTGAGCACCTACTTTGAGTTGATATCTGCGCGGCTCCCTGGATGAGCAAGACAAACATGCTGTCTGCCCACAAGCTCACACTCCAGTGGGGAAATAGGCGATGTCGGCCACGACCTGTCTGGGGCTCTTAGGGTGTCGCCTCAAAGAAGTGATGATTAAGCAAAGATCTGGAGGAGACTCCTGGGAGTAGCCTGGGAAGGTAAAGGAGCCAAGAGGTGTTTCCAAAAGCGGGAGTTGAGATGAGGCACCCATTTTCCAGAGGGCAGGGAAAGGCTGCTGAAGGGCTGGGAGTAGAACAGGGACATGGTACAATGTGCAGCCCTGAACGGTTCACCCTGCAGACGGGCTGGAAGGGAGGAAAGAGGGTGCCTGGGGATGGCCAGGGTTGCCACTGGGCCCGTGGGCTTGGGGGCAAGGGTTTGAGCAGCGAATTTAAACTGGCCCCAGTCCTGGTTTTCCTCTCTCTCTTCCAGACATGTCCTTCGATAATTCCCTGTTTGCCATCTCAACGGTAAGTCCTTTCATTTCTTGGTCCCAGTTTTTTGTCCAACTCCAGGAAAGGTGGGGCCACCACCAGGCTGGGTTGACCTGTTGTCGGGTGGGAGGGGAAGGCCCAGAATCATGGAGCAGGGATTTGTTTGTGAGCTCACAGTTGGATGTGAGACTTCCTGGGGCAAAGACTTCCTTGGAGGTGGACACAGCCAAGTCACTGTGTGGCAATGGGCAGTTCCCCAGGGGTGCTTGCTATTGGGGTCAGCACTGTCTTTGCATTCAGTCTGGCCAACTTCCCAGAATGGTGACAGATGGAATTCAGGCATACCTGGTGGCATTTGGGGGGTCATGGAGCTTTGTGACAATCTGATACACAGTGAAGGCCCCTCCAGGTATAAAGAAAAGCCTACTTTGTGTTCAGTTTCTGAACACAAAGCTTAAATGTCCCAGTTGTACATTTTCCCTTTTAGTGGGGAGGGTCTCACTGCATGCCCCTCCATTGAGGGGTGTTGCTCCCCCAGATCATACCTGTTTGGGCTGGGATTTGAACCCCTCTGCACAACTGCAACTTGCAGTGGCCTTGGTGTTTGTACTTTATTACTTTAATTTTTTTTTTTTTACTAAATTAGAGATATCTGAGCCAGGGATACCATGGATCAAGAAAATGTTCAGCTGCTCCTCTTCACACAGAGAGGAGTACAGGTCTGGGGTGAAAGCAGCCCCACTCGAGTTGGCCTCAGAGTTCCCATTTGGACAAGCAGACACTTTGGGACTGCTGCCGGCACCTGGGCAGAGTCCTCTGCTTGAGGTGCCATGATGGGGAGTGGGGTGAGGGCATTTAGACAAGAACAGGATGAGGCCCTCACTCCCTCAGAACCTTTTAATTCTATGGGGAGACAGAGATGATGCCACAGGGACCAGGACTGACCAGGAAACTCAATTCTCACATGGATAGGAGATCCAAGGGATCTCAGAGATGGGTGACAAGCAGGAGCAGGAGGTAGCTGAAGAAGACTGATGCAGGCTTGGGACACATTCTTGACCCAGCACATATAACTGGGGTAGGGCCGAGTGAGGAGTTGACAGACCATGTAGATAGCTTTGACTTTTACCCCAAGTGAGATGGGAGCCATGAAGGTTTCCCAACTTCATGGTGGGAAGGGCAGAGAAGGGGTATAACCTGATTCAGGTGCTCACAGGCTATGGGGATGACAGACTTGGAGGGAGGGCATGGATGGATTGGTCCGGGCATGCAAAGTGGTTTGGTCCAGCTTGTTGGCAGCAGAGGTGGAAGAAGTGAACAGATACAGGTCAGGTAGATTCAGCAGATGGGAAACACGGCATTGAGTTTTGACTAGATGAGCAGGCTGAAGGAGGAGGCGGCGGCATGGGGGAGTCTTGGGGAGGGACAGCTTGAAGGGACAAGGGATGGCCCACCTCCTTTGGTTATGCCCAAGAGCAGATGGAGACGTGAGTCTACAATTTCGGAGAGAGTAGTAGGGAAGTTTAAACTTGTCCCCAGTCACTGGTGTATAAATAGTGGCAAGGAAGGGGCTTAGTGTCGGGCTGTTCAGCCTTCTGAGGTCTCTGCTCCCAGAACAAATCCTGAGTTGTTAAGAAAATGCCAATAGGCAGGGCAAGTTCTAAAACTTTCCATGAGAAACCACAGGCTCAAGGCACCAATGTGGTGATTTTTCCTTTTTCTTTTTTAAAGAAGGCATTTCAAATGAAACAATGGAAAACAGAACAACTTATTTCTTAGTATCTTAGACCTGGTGACTATATCTATATATCTATATATTGCTATATATGTATTTTAAAAGATTTTATTCATTTTTTTAGACAGAGGGGAAGGGAGGGAGAAAGAGAGGGAGAGAAACATCAATGTGTGGTTGCCTCTTGCACACCCCCTACTGGGGACCTGGCCCACAACCCAGGCATGTGCCCTGACTGGAATCAACTCAGGACTCTTTGGTTTGTGGGCTGCTGCTCAATCCACTGAGGACTGCCTGCCAGACACAAGCCAGGACTGCTATATATATTTTTTTAATTAAAAACATTTAAAATATGAAATACATCCATATGCCAAAATTATACATACAGTACTGTTTGTTTTTTTTTAATCACATAACTGTTCTCAACCCATTGGTCGCCCTCTCTACACACACAGAAGCAACCACTGACCACTGTTAGGAGCTTCTTGCAAAAGTCAAAGTGCAAGCAAAGGTGAAAATAGCAAATCTATATCCTCACTCTTTTAAGCACAAATGATATCATGATATTTACACTAATGTATGATGCTTTTGTTCCTTAATAGTAAATTCTATTGATCTTTTCTAGTTTCTTTTTTTATAAATTGTGGTAAAATATACATAACATATATAACATTTTGACCATTTAAAAATTTATTGGTTTTAGAGAGAGGAAGGCAGAGAGGAACATAGATCTGTAGTTCCACTTAATTATGCAATCATCCATTGATTCTCATATGTGCCCTGACTAGGGATGAAACCTGCAACCTTGGCTGATTGGGATGTCACTCTAACCAATGAGCGGTGCAGCCAGGGCCTCATTTTAACCATTTTTCAGTGTGCAGTTCTGTGGCATTAAGTACATTCACATTATGCAACTATCACAGCCATCCATTTACAAACTCTGTCTTGAAAAGCTGAAATTCTGTTCCCACTCCACTATACACTAACTCCTCAGTTTTACCTCTCCCCCCAGCCCTTGGCAACTACCCTTCTACTGTATGTGTCTGTGAATTTCCCTTTTTTGGACCCCTCATCCTTTCTGTGTCTGGCTTATTTCACTCAGCATAATGTTTTCAAGGTTCATTCATGTTCTAACATGTGTCAGAGTTTCCTTCCTTTGTAAGGCTGAATAATATTCCATTGTATGTATGCACCACATTTTGTTTATCTAGTCACCCACTGATGGACACTTGGGCTGCTTCCACTTTTTGGCTATTGTGAATAATGCTGCAATGAACATGGATGTGCAAGTATCTGTTTGAGTCCCTGCTTTCAATTCTAGTTTCTTTTTGAAGCATTAGAAAGCTGTGCTATTGGCTGAAATGAAAATGAAGCAGCTGACCAGTCTTTCAGCTTGTACTGTATTATTACACTGAGGGTCTGATATTTACTTTGTAACATCCCATAAAGTGCAGTTGACTTTTTTTTTCTTAATACAAACAGCGAGACTAGAGTTGGTTATGAGCCTTACTGGGGTCACCCAACTAGGGAGGAACAGGACTGGGAGTGGAACCCCAGCCTGCTCTCACCTGCCAGGCTTACGTTTTAGTGAATTCATTTCTTCATGACCAGCATTTCAAGCAGGAGCCTTCAAGGCAGAGGAGAGGGTAGATTTTTGAGGAAGTCCAGAATGGAAGGGGAGGAGAGCATCGTAACAACTTTGTTCACTGAACACTTACAATGTGATGCATCAGGTGCTTTAATTCCTTTATGCTTCATAGCAACCCCAGGAGGAGGGTATTAGTGCTCTCCCCATTGTGCAATAGGGAAAACTGAGCACTAAGGAATTAAGTCATTCGACTGAGGTCACAGCACTAGGATGTACTGGAGCTGGGATTTGAACCCAGGCTTCTTGGTCCCCTATTCAGCAAAGAGGAAGGCAGGAGGACAGAAGGCAGATCAGGCCTTCTGATGTGGGGTGGGGGGGGGGTAGATGAGACCTGATGGATTGGGGAGTCTCAGAGAGCATTGGGAAACCCAGAAGCAACAAATCACTCACTTCTATTTTTCTTCCACGGACAAAGAAAATGACTTCAGAAGGAGACACAGTCACCCTGGATGCTCACTCAGGCTCTGCTGCGACCCCTGAAAACTGCGGGCCCCGGAAGAGGCCCACCTCCACATCATCCTCACCTGAGCCCCCTGAATTCAGCACCTTCCGGGCCTGCCAGTGAGGCTGAGGATTGCAGCCCCTCTCTATGTACCCTGTCCCCCTCTCTCACTTGATCTGGCCAGGCCATGTGGGGCCAGAGTCCATCCAGGTAGTTTGGAGGGTTCTGGCTACTGCTTTCTCAGGGAACTGGACAGGATGTCTGGCCTTGGGACCTTCCTCACAGAGGAGCAGGAGTAGAAGAGTGAGAGCAGGCATTGGCCTGGAGGCTGGACAGAAAGCAGGAAGCCTCTCTTTGGATTCTCAGCTTCAAAGACCACCAGGGAAGTAGTTAGGGTCCCTTCTGGTCCCCAGCTAGGCCATAAGAGGTCTGAGCTTTCTGTACATCCCTTCGGTTTCCTCATCCTTTGCCACACCTGACTTGGACAACACAACTGGGTTTTTGGAAAATAGGGTACCCCCAGGTATGTTCTGTGTGTCTGCCTTGCTGGTATGCCTAAATTATTAATTATAGCACGTGCTGAGCTGATCCCAAGGCCTCTATGGAATTTAATCTTTCAAGCCCCAGACTTCTGGGTTCCAATCACTGGATGCCTGGTGGGTGGGCGGAGTACCCCCTTAACTGCTCGCAGACAAGGGTGTTAATATAGAAGCCCATAGGGTGTGGGAAGGGGACAGTGCCACAGGGAGTCTCTGGTGAAGTCCTGGCATTGTTGGGTATAGGAGATGGAATGATGGGGGAAGGGAGAAGAGGAATATTGGGGAGAATGAATAATAAATGAGGAGATCCAGGGAACGATGGGAACTGGGGAAGAGGCCACAAGCCTCTTTGAGTTCCCCAAAAGGGGCCCTAGAGCAGTGGAAGGGAGGACTTGGAGGGAAGATGGGTGCGTGTGTGTATGTGTGTGCGTGAGAGAGAGAAAAGGCGCACTTGGACATACCCAGCTGGACTCAACTAGCCAGCCATCATTGGAGGAAGGTAGAATAACTAGGGGCTAAGGGAGGGACCCAGAAGGAGAGGTCCAAGAATTTTTGTGGGATTTTTGTGGGAGATAGTGAAGGTTTGAGAATGGAGGCGGGGAACGCTGTGGGACCAGAAAGAGAGATGGCGGAGAAGAGAAAGGGAATGCTTGAATGCTATGGGTTCCCACTGGGTTCAGGTCGTGCGGAAAGGACTACTCCCACCAGCTGGGTGGGCTGGGTGGGCTGGGTGTGGGGATGGTCATTGCCTGGGAGCGTGTCCCAGGCCGTGTGTGCGGGGCCCGCCCCTAACTGCGGTTCTCCGCGGAGCCGTGAGCCCTACAAAGTGAGGCCCAGTGGGAAGGAGCAGAGCCGGCAAAGGGGCGGGGCCCCGCAGCTGGACTCCGCCCCTCCGCTTGCCACCTCAGAAAACCCAGAGGGCCAAGGGGCGGGGCCCAGATTCAGGGGCTTGTCAGAGCCTTCGGGCTTCAGGCCCGCCCCCACCGTTTCTGGATCAGGGGAGCCTTTTCACAACGCGCTGTCGATTGCGCGGGGCGGGGCACGGGGCGTGTCTGTGCAGCCTAGCACCACCCACTAACGCTCTCCTATCCCGTCCCCTTCGGGCAGCATAACACGCACCGCCTTAGAAAGTGCGGCCGTTCCGCCGTGCCCGGCTGGGGGAGGAACTCAGGCTTAGGGGCGTGTCCGCGGGGCCGAACACCGCCCCTTGACGCACACTCCCCACCCCCTCGCCGTTCCTGGGCCACCGATCACCTCACAAAGCCGCGACCGTTCGCACTGGGCGGGACCGGGGCGTGGCCTACCCCTACTCCCGGATTGTCCGGTGCTCGGCGTGCTCCCTCCCCGCGCCTAGGGCCGCCGGCAGGGGGCGCTGCGCCACGGGTCCGGGCCGTCAGCAGTGGCAGCGAGGCGGCGCGTGGCCCGCAGGCGGCGCTGCCCGGCTCGGCCTCGGTCTCGGCCTGCGCGGCGGCGGCAGCGGCAGCGGTAGCGGCGGCGTCCTGGGCCCGGGCGGCGGCGGCGGCTGTGGTGGGGCCTGGAGCCGGATCTAAGATGGCAGCGGCGGCGGCGGCTGGGCCGGGCGCGGGCGTTGTGGGGGTGGCGGGCCCGGGCGTCGCGGGGCCCTGCGCGGCCGTGTCGGTGTTCTCCGGCGCCCGCCTCCTCACCATTGGCGATGCGAACGGCGAGATCCAGCGGCACGCGGAGCAGCAGGCTCTGCGCCTCGAGGTGCGCGCCGGCCCGGACGCGGCAGGCATCGCCCTCTACAGCCGTGAGTGCGGGGTCGCGGGTCCGGGCCGACGGCCGGTCGGTGCGCGGGGACTGCGCACGAGGCGGGCCAGGCGGGTGGCCAGAGGCGGGAGGGACGCGGTGGCAGTGGTGGGTGAGGGGCTTGGCGTCCCGAGGGTTAGGGGCCCCAAGCCTTGGGGGCCTGGTTTAGGGTACGTGCGGCCGAACCGAGGTAGTAGGCTGTGGGTAGCCCCGAGTGAGGACTGTGGAGGAACGGTATCAAGAGACAGAGACAGAGAAGAGGGCGTGCGTGGCGGTCAGAGGTGAGGTGCCCTGTGTACGGAGGAGAGCGGGAAATGGGGGATTGAGGGCTAGGAGATTGGGAGGGGGTGGGCAGGAAGTGGGGGGCCGAGAGTGGAAGGTAAATTCGGAGGACGTTGGGGGTGTGGGGGCTGGGTGGGAGCGAAGGGGGTCTGGGGTGTGGAAGAGGTGGGGAGTCTCGAAGTCGGGTGTGGCCGCCCTGACGCGGGTGGGGGCAGAATGAATGTGGGCAGCCTCTGGCCATCTCAGGGGACCCCCTGGACTGCTAAGGACAGTTAGAAAGTGCTCAGTATGGGGCGGCTTGGAGGACGGATTCCACCCATCTAGAAGGCTTGGTGTTGGGATTCCCCTCTCCAGGGGGGAAACTCGTAAATTAGGACAGTGGGGGGACCCCGTGAGGGTGGTGCGAGCCCCTGGTGATAACGCGGATGGGCAGGGCACCTTCTTGATGCCTGGTTCCAAAGAGGTAATACAGCTTTCTCCTGGGCCACATGCCTCTGACCTTTTAGGGGATGTGAGAAGCTGGGTGCGTTTTCAGAAGCTAGTTTCAAAACTGACATTTCAGTGGGAAAAAAAGAATCACAAATGTGTTTGCCAAAGACCTCGAGTCTTTGTAGTTCATCTTTTTTCTTTCTGTTACTCTTAATCTCTTCTCTCCTGTTCTTGATTCCCCCTTCAAATGTTGCTATTCTGTTTCATTCAGCTTTGTCTCTCACGGTTTCTCCGGGGGAGCCATTCAGAAGTCTCTTACTGGTTTTGGCCAATGTGCATTTTTTGTCACTTTGGGTATGGGGAGTGAAGAGAAAGAAGTTAATTCATACAGGGTTCTCCCTGTGCCTTGACTTGGAAAATCCAAACTCCATAGAGCTCTGTCTATTTCCCAGGTGTCCCACCTGCCTTTGCTGGGGTAGAGCTAGGTCTTGGACCAGATGAGGAGGAGAAGGGTACCCTAGGTGGGCATCAGAGCTCAGGACAGACACTTAAGATCCATCTTACTCTCGTAGGATCCCCCAGATCTTAAACGAGGCCATTAATTGTGTAGGCATCAGTAGGGAACAGAGTAATGTAGGGTGGAGTTTTTCGAACTAGGGTCTCAAAGGCTGACCCACAAAAGAGTTCCAGGAGAGTTGGTTTTTCTTTTGTAAATAAACTTCTTTTGATTTTAAAACAGTTTGAGGTTTGTAGGATTATTAGGAAGATAATACAGGGATTTCCCATATACTCCATACGAAGTTTCCCCTATTAGCATGTTTGTTCAGGAGAAATTTTACTCTTGTGTTTTTGTTGATAATCTTGAATTGTAATGAGCTGTGAAGATAACACTTCTCTCTCTCTTTTTTAAAGATTTTATTTATTTATTTTTAGAGAGGGAAGGGAGGGAGAGAGAGAGAGAGAGAGAGAGAGAGAGAGAGAGAGAGAGAGAGAGAGAGAGAGAGGGAGAAACATCAATGTCCGGTTGCTGGGGGCTGTGGCCTGCAACCCAGGAATGTGTCCTGACTGGGAATCAAACCTGCAATGCTTTGGTTCACAGCCCACGCTCAATCCACAGAGCTACGCCAGCCAGGGCTTAACACTTCTCTTTTTTTAAAAAAAGTTTTTATTTCTTTTTAGAGAGAGTGGGAGGAAGGGAGAAAGAGAGGGAGAGAAATATGGATGTGTGAGAGAAACATAGATTGGTTGCCTCTTGAATGCCCCCAACTGGGGACCTGGCCCACACACAGCCCAGGCAAGTGCCCTAGCTGGGAATGGAACCTGTGCACTGATCCTTCAGTTTTCAGGCTGGCACTCAATCAACTGAGCCACACCAGCCAGGGCTACATTTCTCTTTTCAAGGTAATTCATAACTAAAGTATCATTTGTAAAGGGGAGAAAGTCCATGTTTCTCAAACTGAGATCCTTAGTCTGGGATGATACAGTCTTACCAGTGAAAAGTTTTTTTTCTCTTGACGTTCATATAATAGTGTTGTGGGGTTGAGAGCAAGGGTTCTGGAGTCAGCTGAACCAGCTTGTGTTAGTTTCTCAGGGCTGCCATAACAAACTTGGTGACTTAAAACAACAAGAATGTGTTCTTAGATAGTTCCTGGCCCAAATTCTGAAATAAAAAACACATTCCCTCTGGAGGCTCCTTTCTTGCTTCTTCTAGCTTCTGTGGCTCCAGGTGTTGCTTGGCTTATAGAAAGAAGTCCATTCTGTGCCTCAGTCTTCACACAGTCTCTCCCTGTCTCTGTGTCTTTATCTGTAAGGACGCTCATCTTTGGATTTAGAGCCTACCCTAAACCCAAGATGAACTTATCTCAAGATCTTCAATTACATCTGCAAAGACCCTTTTCATAAATAAGGTCATCTTCATAGGCTCTGGGAGTTAGGGGTTGGATGCTTATTTATTTTTTTGGTCCACTATGTAGGCTAGGCTGGTGCCCTGCCAATACCTATGTGTATTTGTGACTCAGTTTCCTTGGTGGTAGAATGGGGGTGGTGATAGGACTGTGTAGCCAGTGTGTTTGCTCAGTGAATGAATAGTTCTTTGGAGGTAGCACCTGCTGCTGTTACTGCCTAGTGATAGCTTCCAGGTTGGCTGGGTTACTGCTTAGGGTGAGGCAGCACTGGCTCCTTAGCAGGCCTGGAGAGTGTGGGTACACAGGAACAGATTGCTGTGAAGGGTGTCAGAGAGTGCAAAGTCCCAGGGCTGGGGTGTGGGCTGCATGCTGTTTCTGCATCTGAGAGCAGGCCTGCTGGGTGTGGAGTGCTGGCTGACAGTCGCCTGGAAAAAGTCAGAGATGGTGCAGCCACTGAGGGGATGTGCAAGCATGTGGCAGCTGGGTGGGTGGTGGGGGATGGGATTTGGGGGTGAACCAGGTTGCTGGGACCCTTAGGTCTTCTCTTGGGATGAACTTCCTTCTCTGGTCTCAGCATTTGCCCACCTGCATCCTTCTGGGACCTGAATGCTTTGTCCAGGTGAGAAAGTGTCAGGATCCCAGTTTTGCTCAATGAGGTGGGGTCCTG